ACGAAGACCCAGTGCAGCCAAAAATACATCGACAGATACATCTTTAAAAAACAGACAAAGAAGCAAACAATTTTTCCAAACTCCCTTTCCATCGCTCAGCCATGTGACAAACCCTCTACTTGCTCTTAAAGATTCAACTGAGTTGCCTCTTCTTCCAGGAAGCCTTCCCTGATCTCTCAAGGCTGCATCAGGAGTTACAAGTGCGCTTCCTCCACACCTGGTAGTGTTCCCACTAGGGCACAGTCACCCTGCATTGCGACTGGTCCAATGGTCGGGCTCCCGCAGTAGAGCCAGGAGCTGTTCAGGGCAAGCAGGGGCCTCGTTCACTCTGGTGTCCCCCAGAACCCAGCCCTGGTAGACAGGAAGCTGGGGTTCACAGATGCAGAATGAATGGATGGATGAAGGAATGAATGAATGACTCAGGGAACGAGTCCCTTACCCCGCTAGCAGTCCCTGCCCAACCCCTCTCCCCCGCCTCACATCCTGAATGTGCTTTTTCCCAGGTGCCCGAGTGTTTCTCATCAACAACAGCTGGGCCCTTTGTGTTTCCTCAAGAGGAACAGAGCGCTGGTGGCGTGTTTTCCTGCTGTACCAGGAAGAGAAGATCAGCGTTTCTAAAACGTCCTCATTCAGGGTGAAGTGGAAATATTCCAGCGCTGGGGAGTCAGGTGGCCCGAGTTCCAATCTTTGCTTTGCCTTGCCTCCCTAAAGGACCCAGAACTAAATTATTGCTCTCTCTGCCCCTTCATCCTCTTGTCTAAGAAGGGATTGAGGGGTGCAAAGTTAGTGATCTCTCTCTCTCTGGTTGGGGTGCTCTAGGGCTGTGATTCGAAAATCACACCTCCTTGGGGACCTCCTTGGTGGTCCAGTGGCTAAGGCTCTGCCTTTCCACTGCAGGGGATGCAGGACTCGATCTCTGGTTGGGGAGCTAAGATCCCACATGCTGCATGGTATGGCTAGAAAATAAAACCTGGGCTTCTCTGGTAGTCTAGAGGTTAAGAATCTAATGCAGGGGACATGGGTTCGATCCCTGGTCCAGGAAGATCTCACATGCCACGGAGCAACTACCCATGTACCACAATTCCTGAGCCTCTGCTCTTGAGCCAAGGAGCCAAAACTACCAAGTCCACACACTGCAGCTGCGGAAGCGCACACGCCCTGGACTCTGGTCCGCAACAAGAGAGGCCACCGTAATGAGAAGCCCGAGGGAGTGGCCCCTGCTCGCCGCAACCAGGGGAAGCCTGAACACAGCAACGAAGACCCAGTGCAGCCAAAAATACATCAACAGATACATCTTTAAAAAACAGACAAGCAAACAAAAGTCCCACACCCAAGGGATTCTGGCAGGGCTCATTTAGTGACTGTGAAGCTCCTGAAATTATGTACAAAACTTTGTAAATATGGGTATTGCTTTCTGGGGTTTTTATCTGGTGTTCAAAGGGATCCCTAATCCCCTATGAGTTGAGTCACTTTTTAAAACTGATTTAGCAAAATATCATTTGTGTTAATAAAAATAAAGGTTAAAAGAAAAGCAGGAGAGACTATTTAAATGAACAAATAATGTCTAAAGAAGGATTTTCTCCACCCCAGCACTAGTCACTTCTTGGACAAGATCATTCTTTGTGTGTGTGTGTGGGGGGGGAGGGGCTGTCTGTGCATTGTAGGCCATTTACCAGCATCGTTGGTCCCACTATATGCCAATATCAGCCCCTCCCCAGTTGTGACATCCAAAAATGTCCCCAGACATTGTCGGATGCTCCCTGGAGGCAAAATCACCCTGAGCAGGGAACCGCTGATCTAGAAGAAACTGATAAAAATTGTTTCCCCTGGGGATCAAAACTGGGATTGAGAAAAATGAGAAGAAAGTTATTCTTATTCTATCCTTCTCTGGCTCTTTAAATTTGAAAATCATGACTAAGTATTACATTTGTAATAAAAATGAGTTTATTGTTAAAGTAAATTACCTCCATTCAAGGGACCACTGCACAGCCTTTGAAAAAAAAACAGGCCAGGCTCTGCATCTGATAGATTGCCTCCATGGCATACAGCAGCAATGCTGAAAACTTTTGCCCTCAAAACCCCTCTCTACCCTTAAAAATTGTAGCAGACACCGAAAAGTTTCGTTTGTGCCTACCAACATTTAGCATATTCAAAATTCAAGTTCAAAATATTTTAAAGTATGTATTGTTTAAGTAAAGTAATAAATTCATTGCATGCTAGCATAAATAAACTTATTTTAGTGAAAAATAACTGTTGTGAATACTTGCGCTCAGTCACTCAGCCCGGCTGTATCCAACCCTTCGCAACCACATGGACTGTAGCCCACCAGGCTCCTCTGTCCATGGAATTTTCCAGGCAAGAATACTGGAGTGGGCTGCCATTTCCTACTCCAGGGGATCTTCCCAACCCAGGCATCAAACCCATGCGTCTTGGGTCTCCTGCATTGGCAGGTGAGTTCTTTACCACTAGCCCACAGATTCACCTGTATGAGGACTCAAAACACTCTCTGGTGGCTCAGTGGTAAAGAATCTGCCTGCAAAACATGAGATGCTGGTTTGATCCCTGGGTCAGGAAGATTCTGCTGGAGAAGGAAATGGCAACCTGGTCTGGTATTCTTGCCTGGGAAATCCTATGGATAGATGAAGCTGGCAGCCTGCAATTCATGGTGTCACAAAAGAGTCAGGCATGACTGAGCAACTAAACAACAACAACAATATACATGCTTAAATATGCATATAGTATTCTCGAAATTATACAGTAAAAGATGATAATACCTTAGGGCGAAGGGTATTTCTGGATGCCAAGAAGTCAGAAGTAGGACAGGCTTTTCACAGTATTCCTTTCAAAAAAATAAATCTTTATGGAATCCTTTTGTATTTTTGAAATGTAAAATTTGAACCACCAAAAACATTAACTTAATTTTTCATTTTAACAAACATGGACTTGTTGTTGTTAAGTTCCAGACAAAACTCAGCAGATACCTCAGCACTTGCACCATAACTGCTAGTCCTGCTCGCAAGACAGACAGCACGAAACGAACAGGATGGCAGACAGTACCAATCGATGGGGGACAGTCTTTCCCACTGAGCAAATCCTTCTCAACACTGTGCTTCCAAGTGGCCATTAGGAATCAATTCATCTTGACAAAGAAGCCAAAATGCATTTGCCATTCCTAACTCTTGAGCATGACCTCCAGAAATTCCTGAAATCATTGAAAATGACTCAGAGTATTTCCCTCAGGGAGTCTGATCCTGCTGACTCTTAATTCTCTCCTGCTAACCTACCCCCACCACTGTCTCTGTTCCCGAGGGATTTCGGGATTTGGAGTTCTGCTACCCCACCCCCCTCCTTTTTTTTTTTTTTTTTTTTTAAACAGAAAAAGAAACCGAAGCCCCAGAGATTAAAAGACTCGCTCAAGGTCACAGAATGAGTTTGCACCAAATTTGAAGTAAAATATAGCAGCTGCTAGAGTAGATGCTGGAATTTGGCAGAACTGGGTGTGAATGCTCCTTTGCATCCTTCCAGCCGGGTGACTACCTCCCGGAGTCTCAGTTTCCCCATCCTCAAAATGGGGCTCTTTGGAATGCCTTGCTTAGAGGATGTCTAGGAGAAACCAATGAGCTGATAAATGAAAAGGGCTCCTCACAGCATCTGACACCTAATGGCAGCTTGATCAGGGGGGTCGTGGCCATTATAGGATGTGGTGGAGGCTGCAGAAGCTGTTCTGATTGTCCCCTAGAGGCTCAATCTAGGAGAGATGAGGAATCCAAGTGCTAGAACGCTGTTTCCTTTTCAGTGTATTTCAAGAATAAGCTTATCAAGCATTTAGGGTGTTTTCAATCCCTCAGTGTAGTAGGTGGGATCACAGACCTCGGAACCCGCTTTGAGCCTCCCTCCATCACCTGTAAAATGTGTGTGTCTGTGCCCTACCTAAAGGGCGGCTGGGAACGTCTCCTGAGATCATGGATGGCAGCGAAGTGTGTGGCTTCCCATACATAGTAGATACAATAAATGATAGTAGTTATCTCTCAGTAGTGTTAGGAAAAGCCCCTGCTCCTTGGTGAAAAAGAAAGGAAGCTTAATTTTTGGAACCAGATGAACCTAGTTCCAACTCACGGCTCTGCCAGTTTCCACCTGTGTGACCCTGGGTGAACCATTTCACCTCTATGGACCCAGCTGCAAAAGGAATCCAATAAACTCAATGTGCAAGCTCAGGGAGGAAATTAAATGAAGCAGGGAATGCTCTGGCTGGCCATCCACTGTTAGGACACTGCAGAGAGCATGTCCTGGTGGAGAACTAAGATGCCCCCATGCACTGGGGCACAACCAAAAGAAAAGAACAACTTTTTTAAAACAAAGCAAGGAACGTGAGTAATAACAGTTCTGTAAGTGGTCATCATCATGTGTGCTGTGTGCTCAGTTGTGTCCGACTCTGTGTGACGCCGTGGACTATAGCCCACCAGGTTCCTCTGTCCATGAGAATCTCCAGGCAAGAATACTGAAGTGGGCTGCCATGCCCTCCTCCAGGGCATCTTCCCAATCCAGGGATCAACCCCAATCCATGTCTCCTACAGCTCCTGCATTGGCAGGTGAATTCTTTACCACTGAACCACCTGGGAAGCCCTGGTCAGTGATACCAAGAGTTAACTTTTATTGATTCTGACCCGTGTCATTTGCTGTCCTACATGCTTTACATGTACTGAATTATAAAGTGCGATTGTTAATAACTATGGTGATTAAGCAGTTTAGCAAACAACTAACTTTATTCTGTAGCACCCCCCCACCCCCCACCACACACACATATATACCCGCTAGAGACCTAGACTCGTCCTCTGTATCCAATGCCCCCACCCTCGGACAGGCAGAGACGTGTTTGAAATAAAGTTTATTGAAGTTTCTGTCGGTATTTACATATGATACACGGTAAATAACAGAGCCTCCCCCTCCCACCTAAGATGCAAACTAAAAACCTCCCATCCCTCCCCTGCCCCCCTCCTCCCACCCAGGGGGCCTGTCTGGTTCCGTGTACAATACTGTGCTACCTCGCCCCTCCTCCCCTAATAAGGGAGAGGGTGAGTTTCTGGTGAAATCCCCCCAATCTGTCCTAGGAGGCGGACGGACCCTTGAAAGAGGCCAGAGTTGGGGGATCTGAGATGGGGAGGAGGACTTCAGTGAGGGGGGAGGTGCCGGAAAATGGAAGACTTCGAGGTTTGGGGGGTGTCGACCCCCGCTACTGCCTCTCCCTCCCACGACGGGGCCTCGAGGGGGAAGAGGCGAGCACAGGCTTGGAATTGGCGTGGAGGACTTCCCTCCACCTAGGGTCTCCATTCTTGTCGCGTGGCGTGGGGGGCTGGATACACCTAGGGGGGCTTTGGATGAGCGGGTGGAGAGGAGGCCAGGAGGCAGAGGAAGGAAAAAGAAGCCAAGGTCAGCTGAGAGAGAGCGAGAAAATCCTTTAAAGAGCGCCCTTGAAAAGACAGGTAGCCTTCAGAAGGCCGAGACGTATCCAGCAGGTGAGACAGAACGGGGTCTCCCGTGTGTGCGGTGGGGGGCGGGTGAGGCCAGGTTAACCATAGCCGGGGCCTCCAGCCCCCCACCCCACCCTAGAGATGGGGTGGGGGTCTGGGGTGGAGCAAGAAGGGCCTCCCCGCTTCACTCACTGTACGCAAGGACCACGAAGGTCTGGAGGTGAGACTGGACCGAGAAAGAGGCTAACCGGGGCAGAGAGGAGAAAAGGATATTTGGCATTCCTGGCGGCTGCCAGAACCTACTCTCCAGCCCAGAGCCCCCGGCCGAGGCGAAAGGTAACTGGGGCAGTTTGCCCGGAGGTGGGCGCGCTCGGCCGCTGGGCGAAAAGAACCCGGAAACCTGGAAACCTTTCGGCTGGGGGCGGGGCCTGATGAAAGGGGCGTGTCTTCCGGGGGAGGAGTCATCTGGAAGTGGAAGGGACCAATGAAGAGGAGCGGTCAGGAAAGAGGGCGGGGCTATGGTGGCTGGGCGGGGCACCAGGGAGAGGGCGGGGCTACGGCGGCGAGGCAGGGCTAACGGGCGCGCGGTTTCCTCCCCGCGGGACTAGGCGTCCCCAGGACTTGCGCTGGAGCCGCGCGGTCGCGACGAGACCAGCTAGGAGGAGGAGGAGGAGGCAGGGCGCTCCGGGGGCGGGGCCTCAGCAGGGCGAGGTGGAGATGTGGAGGTGGTCGGGGTACTTGATGGCGGGAGGGTAGTTCTGCGTCATCTGTATGGACACATCGCTGGAGATGTCCGAGGGGCTGCGGCCGCGGCGCCACGCCTCGGGCTGCAGAAACTGGCCCGAGTAGTCGGAGCAGTCGCTGAGACGCGGGCGGTAGAAGGCCGGGTGCGGGCGGTACATCTCCTCCTCCGCGTAGCGCTTGGTGAACAAGTACACGGACATCACGCCGGCTCCCTGTGGCAAGGCAGGACCAGAGTCCCGAGGCTGGCCCCGGGCTCCTCCCAACCCCAAGGCTCAAGACCCCCAGCCCCACCTCTCCGAGGACCCAGGATTCCAGGCCTCCAGCTTCCTCCTTTCCCAGAAGCCAGGAATTAGGGCCCCGTCCCCATCCAAGGAGTCAGAGTGCCCTGCTTCATCCTTCCTGAGATCTGGGAGTCCAGGCCACCCCCCTTCTCCTCCGGGACCCCAGGAGTTGGAGCTCCCAGACCCTCCTCCTCCAGGACCTGGGGGCTAGGACCTCAGCCACCACCTCCTTTTAATCCACAGTCTAACCCACAGCCTCCTCTTCCTCCTGGACCCAGGAATCGCGCATGCCCCTGCCACCGGTCCCCATTCAAATCTCTGAAGTCTGGGCCCCACAGACATCACCTCTTTGAGTAGGAAGGAGGACGCTGCGAAGGCAAAAGACCACCCGTAGCGATAGTGGAAATACTGTTCCGAGCTGCTGGGCCTGTTCATGACCTCGTCGTTGATGCTGGAAATGTAAAGAACCAAGCCCACCACCAAGGAGAGGCCTGGGGGAGTAGAGGGATGCCCTTGGTCCACTAGCAGCGGACCCCTTTCCCCAGCCCCAGGTCCCCTGCATCCCACTGACATCTTCTCCCCCTACCCCCCACCCCATTCTATCCTGGACTGTGCTGTGCTTAGTCACTCAGTCGTGTTGGACTCTTTGTGACCCCATGGACTGTAGCCCGCCAGGCTCCTCTGTCCATGGGGATTCTCCAGACAAGAATACTGGAGTGGGTTGCCATGCCCCCCCTCCAGAGGATCATCCCAGCTCAGGGATGGAACCCAGGTCTCTCGCATTGCAGGTGGATTCTTTACTGTCTGGGCCACCAGGGAAGTCCAAGACTACTGGAGTGGGTGGCCTATCCCTTCTCCAGGGGAATTTCTTGAGTCGGGGTCTCCTGCATTGCAGATGGATTCTTTGCAGTCTGAGCTACCAGGGAAGCTCCCATCAATTGAAGTCCCTTGTGGACTGGTCCTGGGCTGGGTGCAGGGAGTCTAGAGATAAATCAACAGCCTCCTCCTCCCTCCTCCCACCCCTGCATCCCTAATCTGCCATCCAGGGGCTCACAGTGCAGTTGGGTAAGACAAATATGGACACTGGTCAGCAGTCACATCCAGGGTGACATGTACTGTAAGAGAAATGGTAGCACAGAGACTTCCCTAGCGGTCCAATGGTAAGACTCCGAACTTCCATTGCAGGGGGCGCTGGTTTGATCCATGGTCAAGGAACAAAGATCTCACATTCTGTGTGGTGCGCCAGAAAAATTAATTTAAAAAAAATTGCAGATGAAATAGTAGCATAAAGATCCATAGGTCCAGAAAAGGCACCAAAGCCACCTGGGGGCAGGGGTGGAAGGAGTCAAGGAAAGTTTCCTGGAAGCTGGATTTTGTCCTAAATCCCAAAGGATGAGGCCCAGGGAAGAATGCAGGAAAACTCTGATACCACCCCAGGCAAGGCAGAGGGACTAGCATTGTTCCAACCAGAATTGGAGGGGGAACGCTAAACTGATCCATCCATGCAGCTAAAAAACATGGCCCACAGCCACCAGAAGTGAAGCCAGAGAAAGCTGGGCAGGGGCATTGCCATGATGAGCCTCAAATGCCAGTCTGCCTGAGGAGCTTGGCATTGATGGCAAGGGCACTAGGGAGCCATGGAATGTTGGGAGCAGAGGGAGGACAGGTCCAGACTGGAGTGTTAGAAGATCCTTTGGGGGCTGATGGGTTGCAGGAAGGGATTGGAGGGGAGAAATGCTGGAGCTGTGATAGGCCCACGGGGGGAGGATGAAGCTAAACTGAGGCTGTATAGATAATAACATCAATAACAACAACAATAATAATAGCAGCTGCTTGTGTAGGTCTTGCTCTGTGCCAGGCACCATTCTGAGTATCTTATATGCATTAACTCATTCAAACCTCACAATAACACTATCAAGTAGGTACCATTTTTATCTCTGTTTAGAGTTGAGGATATAGAGGTACCGGGAGAAAATGGAGAGAAGTCTCATTTAAGAAGTTTTAAGAGGCAAGTATCACTTCCTCAAGCTGAACTTTCTTTTTCTAACATATATATGTATATAAAATAAATGTATATATTTTATATGAGTGGCATGTGGGATCTTAGTTCCCTGACTAGGGATTGAACCATGCCCTGTACACTGGAACTTGGAGTCAACCACTTGACTCCAGGGAAGCCTGAAGGTGAACTTTCTTTTAAACTGTAGCCATACCAGGGTGGCTTGCAGTGGGTGTGTGCTCAGCCGTGTTTGACTCTTGACAACCCTGTAGCCCACCAGGCTTCTCTGTCCATGGGATTTTCCAGGCAAGAATCCTGGAATGGGTTGCCATTTCCAGGGAATCTTCCCAACCCAGGAATTGAACTCATGTCTCCTGTGTCTCCTGCCTTGGCAGGTGGATTCTTTACTGCTGTGCCACACAGGAATCCATTAAAGGTGGCTTCAGGAGACAGTAAAATTCCTGGCCCTAAATTAATCTCCATAATCCTCATTAGCACCTTCCCCTAGAATCCTATTACACAAACAAACATCTGTGTGTCCATCACACCCAGAATAAATCTGAATTCCTTCCATTGCCTATGAAAGGTGTTAGCAAAAAACAACCCCCCCCCCCCGACCCAGGGCTAAATCCAGCCCATCCCCTGTTTCTGTATGGACTACTAGCTAAGAATGACTTTTACATGATTAAGTGGTTGAAAAAAAAAATCAGAAGAAGAGTATTTTGTGGCACGTAAAAAGTATAGGAATTTCATTTGGCAGTTCCTCAAAGCGTTAAAGATAGAATTACCATATGACCCAGCGATTCCACTCCTAGGTATTTAGCCGAGAGAACTGGAAACATATGCTCACACAAAAACTTGTGCAGGAATGTTTGCAGCAGCATTATTCATAATAGCCAAAACGTGGAAACAACCCAAATGTCTATCAACTGCATGGATAAACAAAATGTGGTATAGCCATATAAAGGAATAGTATTCAGCCAAAAAAAGGAATGGAGTGTTGATTTATACTGCCACATGGTGGAACCTAGAAAATATGCTAAGTGAAAGAAGCTCGATGCAGAAGACCACATATTGTACGCTTCCATTTATAGGAAATGTCCAAAATAGGCAAATCCATAGACAGAGAAAGTAGATCAGGACTTCCCTGGTAGCTTAGTGGTGAAGAATCCGCCTGCTCATGCAGGGGACACGGGTTTGGTCCCTGACCTGGGGAGATTCCACATGCCACGGGGTAACTAAGCCTGTGCGCCATGACTACCGAGCCCAGGCCCCAGGTGCGTGCTCTGCACAAGAGAAGCCACCACAGTGAGAAGCCTGAGTACCGCAACTAGAGAGGAGCACCCACTCGTTGCAACTAGAGAAAGCCTGTGCCCAGCAAGAGCTGCAGCCCATAGCTGACTCTCACCAGGAGTCAGACACGACTGAAGCGACTTCGCACGCACGCACACACACAATGATATTAGGCTGCAGGCAAGCATCATCAGAGGTCGTTAAATCACTGAATGACAGAATCTCCTCATGGAATATCTGTTCACTACAAAGATACTTTGGAAAGCCCCCTTTATCATCAAGGAGCCTGAAAGATACCGTTTGAACCAAGTACCTGAAGCTAACATTACCAATAGTGGGACAAACGGACACCCTGACTTCCTGATGGGATTGCACCACCATTTCATTTATGTAGTGTCCCTGCTGGAAATGTGTAACCTGGATCCACTCCAGGAGAAAATGTGGGGCATTTTACAAACACTGGTTGCATTCTTCAAAAACAAACGTCAACATGAAAGATTTTTTTTTTTAAGGCATAGGAGCTATATAAAAGATGAAAAGAGACACATCAAGGAAATGCAGAGCGGAATCCTAGCCTGGATCTCGAATCAGGGGAAAAATGGACTATAAAAAGCAATGTGGGGACTTCCCTGATGGTCCAGGGAAGACTCTGTTCTTCCACTACAGGGAGCTTGGGTTCGATCCCTGGTCAGGGAACTGGGATCCCACAGGCCCCGGGGAGCAGCCAGTGGGAAAAAGAAAGGTAGTGTGGGTGCTGTGGAGCAACTAAGCTGGTGCATCACAACTACTGAAGCCTGAGAGCCTAGAGTGCATGCCCCGAAACAGGGGCAGCCCCGGCGATATGCTGTGCACTGCACCTAGTGAGGAGCCCCAGCTCGCCACAGCTAGAGAAAGCCTGCAAGTGGCAGCCAAGACTGAGAACGGCCAAAAATGTTTAAAATATCAAAAAAGGCAGTGTGCAGACAACTGATGAAACTTGAATACGGATTGTGTATTAGCTGTAAAACTGTATAAATGTTCAACTTCCTGAGTTGGATGATGGTACTATGCTTAGGAAAGGAAATATACTTGTCCTTAGGAGATATCTGATGCTGATATATTTAAGAGTGAAGTCTTTCTAGTGTGTGTAAAATGGATAGTTGGTGAGAAGATGCTGTGTGGTACAGGGGGCCCAGTCTGGTGCTCTGGGATGACCTAGAGGGTGGGATGAGGGGAGAGGAGGGAGGCTCAGAAGGGAGGGGACATATGTATAATTATGGCTGATTGTCGTTGTCGTGTGGCAGAAACCAACACAACATTGTAAATTTAAAAAACCAAAAAATTTTAAAAGGGTGAGGTGTTTGCAACTTATGTTCAAGTGGTTATCTATGGTAATATAATGTATTAATAATGTATAGATATATGCCCTTATACACACATATACTCCAATATTTTGGCCACCTGATGCGAAGAACTGACTCACTGGAAAAGACCCTGGTGCTGGGAAAGATTGAAGGCAGGAGGAGAAGGGGATAACAGAGGATGAGATGGTTGGATGGCATCACTGACTCGATGGACGAGAGTTTGAGCAAGCTCCGGGAGTTGGTGATGGACAGGGAAGCCTGGTGTGCTGCATCCATGGGGTCACAAAGAGTCAGACACGACTGAATGACTGAACTGAACTGACTGATATACACATAAGACAGAGAAAAAGACAAAGGTGGGGGACTTCCCTGGTGGTCCAGTGGTTGGGAGTCCACCCTCCAATGCAGGGACACAGGTTCACTCCCTGGCCGGGGATGATCCCACATGCCCTAGAGCAACTGAGCCCATGAACTCTGGAGTCCGTGTGCCACAATGAAGACCCAAAGCAGCCAGAAACAAATAAATAGTGATAATAAAAATAAAAAAAGACAAAGGTGGCAAAATGTTAAAACTTGGTCCAGGTGAAGAACATGAGAATTCTTTGTGCTATTCTTGCAACTTTTCTGTACATTTAAAAATTTGCCAAAACAACAAATTTTAAATGAAACAGGTATCCCCAAACAGGAATTCCACCCCCTGAAGATCCAAAAATGTTACCCTGCAAATGGCTTACTCATTGTAAAGAGAAAAATGTGCCTTTCCAAAGGAGAGCTCTAATGATCACCCCCTTTACCAAGGGGGTGCAAACATTTTTCCACTCCTGGTGGGAACAACTTGACATTATTTGCTACCTGA